TCTATAGAATTTTCTATAGATTTTCTAAACAATTATGCTATAGACATTCTATAGTTTTTTTTTGATAGAATTCTATAGAATTTTTTTGTATGGGCTCTAGCATCGTAAGTCGTAGAAAGTTAAAAACAACCTGTAGCAGAGCTTAGCTAAGAAATACAGTATTTTGTGCACTCACAGGAGGTTGTGTATAACCAGTAAGTACTGAGGTCACGGAAACAGGTTACAATTAAGTGTACCTCGGAAGTTGTAAAGGGAAAAAGTCGAAAGTAGCCAGCGGTGTTAAATGAAACTAAACTAATTAAGACTTACAACTTCCTATTAGTTTCTTATTTATTTTCTTAATTTCTGGAGTCTAGATATATTGTGCCGTCAAACTTAAAGAAAACAAATAAATTGTGTGAAACTGTCCAAAACTTTCTCGATAGCTGGCTCCGGCATTGGTGCTAACGTATTTCTTGTATTTCAAAATTAACTTTTCGCCATTTATTAAATGGCAATATCATACAATGCAGAGTAAGCGTTTTGCTTTTGTGGTGTGTCTTTTTATATAAATGCAATTTTGACGGAAATTCTACATAACAATTATTCATGACAAATAAAAGTTTGGAATAATTACGGATGGAAATACAGAGAAAATATACGAAATTGTATGACTACTGGGCCTAGACCCCTAACTGTCCAGGTTATCGTATTTCTCCTAGACATCCCATGGACAAATGTGGTTGTGAACGTTCTTCATTTACTGTGTCCATGCGTATCTTTAATATTCATATCTGTGTTGAAATATGGTAGGAAGTTAGGCGATCACATCATTTATATATTTATACTTCAAGGGCTTGAGGTCTGAGTCTCGCTGTCACAACGTGATGCAGCATGAGAGGGACAGCTAACCACATTAAAATTTTCAAAGTAGTCAATTAGTCCATGTAAAAAAAACTGTTAAGGCTGGGTGCTTTTTTCAATCTGTAATGAAACTACCTCCTTGATACATGCTAAGTTTCCAAATCCCACATGAAAGGCAATGCCTTTATTATACTTCAACGGATCTTCCAGTGTAGTGTTTGATCAGGTAGAAATTATACACTCTAACCCTGTACACGAACAAACAATAACTTATTTTTTTTTTACATGGCCTTATAGTGAGTTAAACCACAGAAATTTAATATGCGTGATTGCATACCAATGCTAAAACAGCTAAAACGACGAAAACGATCCCGTCTATAACGACAGTAAAGTCATTATTTTTGATAAAAGTATTAGCTTATATGCCAATTTTACAAAGCTAAATAACCTGTTTATTCTTGCTGTAGCATGTTAAGGTATGTGCAATTTTTTGATACGGTATTTATCATTTTATATAATATCCAAATAAGTATTTTCATTTGTAATACAATAAAATTTTATATAAATTAATCTCATCTCTTATAAACTTCCAAATTAATTTAATAAAATGATTGAATACATTTTTTCTAAAATAATTTCAGACTACTTAACAAACCATATTTAAACAGTTTTAATCTGACATTTATAATGCCATAGTTCCTATTCCTTGTCGTACATCCCGCTTTGAAACATCATTCCTTACACGCCCTGTATTTTTCCCCCCTTTCACAATCCATTTTCTTAATATAAAGCAGGCTCTCAATAGGTAGGCCAATATCAACTCACATTTCCTATCCCTTCATACTTATCTTGTTATAATAACTTGTATTGTAATTATATATATATATATATATATATAAGATGTGTATAAGAGACAGGGTTTGTGTATAAGAGACAGGGTGTTTATATATAGTGCGAGTGTCTTATATATGATATGATTTGACAATATTTCAGTGTGAAGCCATTGACTTGGATCAGAAGACATCATGATTCCCCTGTGGTGATTAAGACCCCTATAAGCAAATTGTTAACTTGTGAACTTTACTCTAGGGGTATTTCAAGGATCTCATCGGAGAGGACAGTTATATTAGAAGGCAGCTAGGGGTTAACACATTGGTGTTTCAAGGATCTTCACCCAGGATGGGTGGGGGAGTGCGGGAAAAGCTTCCCTCTCATTGCCAGGTATTTTAAGGTTATGCATCAAGTATGGGGTTAGGTAAGGGTATTTCTCTCTCAGGTGGGGTTTAAAGAATCCGAAGAATGAGGGGTGACTGTTTGCTTTTAATCTTAATGACTTGTTGAGAAAAATAAAGAGGGGAGGGGAGGAAGAGAGGGGGAATGTACATCAGACTTAAAATAGTATCATTCAGTGATGTGAGAAGTTAAACTTTTACTATTCAGCCAAGTAGTAGGAGTACCTCTAAATCCACTACAAGCTTCTACACCCTTGACAAAGCTGTTAACAATGCTTCAAATGTTGGTAATGTAGGCTTAAGTTACCTTATTACTAGCCAGATATTTCTGCACCATCAGTGCCTGCTCTCCTGTGTGGTTCTTCATCTTGTTAGCCCAGCTCATCCATGCAGGGGCATTTAGCCTTCGCTGCTTTTCTTCTTCATAGTCATCTGCAACACATTTTCTCACGTTTTTTAGGTACTCCGCCGGCTTATCAAATGCCAGAACCGACAGGGGGTACTGCTTAGAAAGACCTGCAATGCAATATATAAAGTAATCAACATTAATATGTCTGGGTGGGATAGAGGGTTGAGATGCAATATTCAGAAATTTACTTTTTTTTTTTCAATTTACTAATTCATAACAAATATATACAAAAAATCATAGGAAGTAAGATGTAAAACAACTGACTTAAATAGCTTTTATCTTTCATTACTTTGGTACTAGGCCTGAAAATTCATATTTCTGGAAATGTTTAATGAATGTTTTAAAAATTGAATAATATTTCATAAGAAGGAACTGCCAAAAAAAACAAAATAAAAAAAAACCAGTCCACCATTTTTACCCAACATTAGACAATGAACAAATATTGATTCACTAAATAATTAAGTTTAGTGTACCGGTATTGGCGATGTATAGTTTGTAGTTCTTTAGACGACTGTCACAATACAAATGGCCTTGGAAGGAATACAGAAACAATACTGTATATGGATAGGCCAGTCAAATCAATTGATTTTTTACCTTTGATTTAGCAGATATTACTACTACTGCTGGTTAATACCTGTAGCACTAAGTCACTATTTAGACTAGTCTGTAGGCCTACATTAAAATTGGTTCCTTAAAAATACTTACAGTAGCCACTTGTATTGCAGAACTACACCTTTTTATTAGTGCTGTAGGCTTATGAATCCACAATTTTTACACGATTGTTATGCAGGGAATTAATTTAATTTACATTAATTTGGTAGTCAATAAATCATAATCAAATGAGACTGTCAGCTAAACAAACTTCAGTCTCATATTTATTAGGCTAATAGGCCTAGTATCACATGACATTAACACCTCATGACAAGAGTTTTAAACATTTTATTTGACGACAAATGATACTAGGCCTAGACACTTTTTTTTTTATATTAAATAACCAGTAAAATTTTTCCCATGCTCAGTGTCTGTCTCTTATACACATCTAGATGTGTATAAGAGACAGGCACTGTACATTCGGTATACATAGTAATTAACGACTTAAATCTTTATATTTAATTCACTGTATTTTTTTTTATAGAAAATTTGAATTTTACTGTAATATATTGATTTCTTTTGATCTAACTTTATGCTTAAATTCAAATAATGTAGACTAATTTTCTTAAAAGTTTAACCATTTTTCGCATAAATATAAATAATATGGGGGCCCATTTTCTAAAAAATTCACCCATTTTACACAAAAAATGAGAAATCTAGACCCAATTTTTCAGAAATGTTCACCTATTTTTAAAATGTGGACACATTATTTGCGGACCCAACATAAAAACCAAAAAAATGTGTGAAACTGTCCCAACTTTCTCGATAGCTGGCTCCGGCATTGGTGCTAACGTATTTCTTGTATTTCAAAATTAACTTTTAGCCATTTATTAAATAGCAATATCATACAATGCAGTGTAAGCGTTTTACTTTTGCGGTGTGTCTGTTTACATAAATGAAATTTTGACGGAAATTCTACATAATAATTCTACACTTACCTGTAGATTCTGTAGGTTGGTACAAGTAGACTTGTATAACCATTTGTATTATAATCCACCTACATGCTGTACCGTACATATTCAAGCCTACACCTGTAACGATATTACTCCTTAGTAGGTCTAGAAATCTGCGACTGTTTGAAATGTCGTTTTCTCCTATACTGTCACTGTTTCAAGACAGAATATCTGAATCTCTATTTCAAGTGCAGACCTTGCACCGAATTATTAATACTACAGTTTTTACAGTTACTTCCTTCTGTGCCTTCTTATTTGTATTACAATACAAGATAAAGTCCGTAGTTGGGTAGCTAACATAATATATTTGTTTAACTTTTACGCCGTTCTTAGCAATCTAGAAATTGCATATTTCGTTTTCTAATAAATCCTTTTACTTCCTTGTTAGATTTGTTTATATATATTAGGGGTCACCTATTTTAATATATTATATTTATTAAAAATTAAAACAATTATGTTGTTTTTAATGTTAAAATTATACGTCACACACACACACACACACACACATCTGTCTCTTATACACATCTATATATATATGTATATATATATATATTTATATTATATATTTATTGATTTTAAATATATATATATTTATTTATATAAATAGTTATATATTTAAGGATATGCGGACGAACGGATAAACTCGTATACATGGAGCTGTTGATGATTGATTTCGTGGCGTCGATTCGAGAGCCTAGCTTAGCGAAAAAAATATCGGGTTTGTTGCGACGCTTATTCTAGAGCGGCACGTATTCGAGTATTTACGGTATGCTATAATTGTCTGTGACGAACAATGCAATGTAGCGAAATTTTGTTTTATATATAATTATGTATATGACATACTATATATTATTAATAATAATAATAATAATAATAATAATATTAATAATAATAATTTAATAATAATAATAATAATAATAATAATAATAATAATAATAATAATAATAATAACGATAATAATAATCTACGGTATATATTAATTCTGCTAATTAACCGCGTAACTTCACCTATCTCTTCTGAAAACTCTGGCAGGAATGTGCTCATATCTCATACACTAGGGTTTCTATATGTCACAACCATATTCCGCTACTTTTTAAAGCTGGATACCTGTTTCGCCATGTTTCGCATGTTGGTTACGTCGCGTAAATACTTATGTCTAACAAAAATCGCGGCAGGCCGTAAAAGAACCAGTCTTACCCCGGTATTCTTAAAACAAACTTTAGTCGTAGTTGGAGCTAAAACTTTAAAATTACGTCATTTCGTATTCTTAAAACCAACTTCGACTAGCACTACGACTAAATGACGTAAACCTCGACTAAAATGATACCTCCGCATGCCGATTTTTTTTAGTCAGCCTAGGGTCAGGCTAAATCGCCGACTTGAAATATTTACCCCACTAAAAACGTGGTTTTTTTTGGAACTCACGATAAAGTGAAAGGAGTAAAAACGATTGTATACGCAGGTTTGATATATCTTCGGTGTGTTAAACAAAAGAGACATCAAGTTTAGCTTCCAGAAGGAGAAATTAACATGTTTTGCTGGCCACATGCGATAGTTCCTGATTTGCACGAAATCCCCTCGCGTTGTGATCACGTAGCTTCACAATAACAACTACAAAGATGGCGCCGCCTTCGCTAGGGCTCAACTATAAATATTCTCCAAAGAAAGCAAATGCTCAGTGTCTGTTAAAATTCTCTATTGTAATATGTTAACAACTAATATAGTTATTATTATAGAAAATTAATTAAGGGAATGATGGTCTATTATGAATTATGAGGAAATACGTTTTTGAACCACAGACGGCAGCTAAATATTCATCCGCATTTCCGGATCTCTAAAATTTCGTCTGCTATAAAAGTTAGCCCTTTTCATTGGTTAGTTTGATAGTCGTGGCTTGCCAGTCGTGTTCAGTTGAACTAAAACTAGGACTTGATGTAGTCGTAGTTAAAACTTCGACTACATTGTTTGTGAATACAAATTGAAGTTAAAGATGCAACTAGCACTAAATGAAGTTCTAGTTCGAAGTTCGACTAAAGTTTGTTTTATGAATACGGGTGTATGATTCGCAGCTTCATTGCGTCACCGCGCAGTACTTCACAGGGGATAATTCTGCTCACGTCAACAAAATGTGGTGCGTACCTTTGGTCCGAATGGTCTTTGGGCCGAGGGCTTATTGGTCCGAAGGGTCTTTGGTCCGGAGGCCCATTGGTCCGAAGATCCATTTGTCCGAATTTTAGTGACCTGGTTTTCTAGGAATGCAGCTTACACGGCAGTAAAACAACTTACAATTTATGTAGTAAATTAAGGAAGATCACTTTTCAAAAACCATATTCCCAAATGTTTTCCCTAACCACATATAAGGCAAAATAAGAAAAATACTAGTTTCTCGTCCCCTCCCCGCATCCATTTTTCCTGCCTTACCAATTTGTCTTTACTTTTAATATATTTTCTTTATGTTTCGAAATGTACAAAAATCTGGGTAAAATCACTCTCTCGATCGTTCGTGGATGGGGAGATGTTCCAGCATATTACTAGTAGTATTATGAATTAAAACTCATTAATATACGTATGGTATGTCTAGTTCTTCATTTATGTAGGGAATGCCACTGGAAAGTCCTGTCGTGAAAGGAATTGAACCCCGGGACCTTAGGATTAGAAGTCAAGCATCTCACTCACTAAGCTATTCAACTCCACTCCACAATTCGAGAGGGAGAAAACATTTATGTATTTTCTACATATTATATCTATTTATAAACCCGATTAAATAAACCTCTGAAACCCCTAAATTTTCAATTTTTTCATGGATCTGCAACCTGGACCACTTTCAAAACATTTGTGTGAGTTGAACACGTTTAACTTTTTTGTATACAGTTTGATAATATGTAATATGACATCATCGTTCCCATAAATGGGCGTTTCACATTTTTTGTCATTTCAAATGTTAATAATAATTAAAAGTGATCACTTTATAATTATTATTAATTGTGTTTACCTCTCTATATCTTTCTTCTACTTCAATTTTTCCACTCCTTTTTAAAAGTGTTACTTTTTTCGCATGTTTGCGAAACTGTAAAAAAACAGAGAATTCGCGCTCGGCACTTTCCTCCATTATTTCGGCGCAGGTAAACGTGCACGTACGTGTGAACAAACAACCCATGAACATTGAAAACGGTCTATCTCGCCATGACAACATAACATGTTTACTATGTCGACTTGGCATTTTTACTATGTCGACTTGGCAAAATAAATTATGTCGCCATGACAACATAACATTTTTACAATGTCCACTTGACAAGATACAATTTTTATTATGTCGATATGTCAAGATAATCTATCTCGCTATGACAACATAGCATTTTTACTATGTCGACTTGACAAGATAGTCTATCTCGCCACGACAACATACATTTTTTATTATGTCGACTTGACAAGATAACTTATCTCGCCATGACAACATAACATTTATAGTATATCGTCTTTGCAAGATGGTTGATCTCGACATGTTGACATGATATGTATATGTCTACTTGACAACATAAATTATTTTTACAAGTAGTTAAGTCGTATGGCACTTAGGTGTTTTCGTATTCTTCAAATATATTTTTCTGTATTTTAACGGACCAAAGGCTCTTCAGACCAAAGAACATTCGGACCAATGCACCGACTTCACAAAAAGAGTGGTCAGCATGTTCCCTTTCCTCTTCGGAGTACCCATTGCATTAAATACTCTATATTATTGTAGTCTTATGGCTCAAAACATCAGCAATAAATGGCATGTTTTAAATATTGATCAGGAAAAAAATAAAGATACACATGGGCACAAGGCATGATATAACCTCGGCCTAATCATACCGGCTAGCCTAACACGGGCCTAGGCTCTGCTCTACGCTAGGCGCGCCCAAGCCTAGCCTATGATCAGTGGCAGCGCCAGCAAGGGGAAGGGGAGGTGGGTACAGGGGAGGTGGGGACAGGAGGCTTAACCCTCTCCCAATCGGTCTGGTTCTCAAAATGTAGATCTAGTTTTTCAAAATGAAGTTCTAATTTTTCAAAACGTAGTTCAAATTTTTCCAAATGTAGTTCTAATTTCTTTAAAATGTAATTCAAATTCAAAACGTAGGTCTGACTTGATTAAACGCCCTCTCCAAATTATATTTCAAAACGTAAATCAAAAACCAGCCTGGTTTGAAATGCATTTTACAACAACACTAGAAATAGACTTTTGCTTGAACAACGCTTCCCAGTGCGTCTGCTAATTTTTAATGGTCAGGCTACCGCAATCACGAGCCCTATGCTTGGCATTATAGGTTAGGCTTATGTGGGCTGGGATTTGCAACAAGGTCTTGGACGAGGCCTCTATACTATAGTAGGAGGACTATGCCTCTATACTATAGTAGGAGGACTAGGCCTCTATACTATAGTAGGAGGCCTGGTCCTAGTCTAGGCCTATAATATATATTCTGTATAAGTAGTCATGTGATTACATGTTTACATTGTACCAAGATCGATATTAACGATCGCATTTATTTTTCATTGAAAATAAAAGAAAACTTTAAATAATTTAACTTAGGATTTTAAAATATTCCAAACCTGTACGCTTAAAAATAAATAAAATAAAAAGTAAATAAATAGTTAACTTAAAACGCAAACAACGCGATAGGATATGAGATTGAGAGAAGTTTCTGTACTGTATTTCTGAAATGCCATTCGTTTTGGGGTTGCTACAATCAGGAGTTACAATCGATCCAACAAGGGAAGCACTATCTATTTCCTTACATTCCAAAAAAGGAGGATTTGATGATATTTAAATTTGCTGGAGATTGAAATATTAACTGTTAATTCTCGTGTTAGAGAACATAGAATGGTACATGACTTTCGGACTGGTATGCCTTCAGTAGTTCTGTATTTTCGCCTGTTCTCTTGTATAATTTGTGTGGTTCTGTAATCTGTTCAAGGGGGGATGTAGATAGAGGTGCTTGACACCTGTTCATCCCCTCCTTTTCGCTGCTTTTTGTCTTGTTTTTGAATTGTTTTTGTATTTTTGCAGTGATGAAGTGTAATAAATAAATAAATAAATAAAATACTCTAGGTGTAATTAAATACAGAGAATAGGCCATTTTAGTGAGAACTAAACCTGTTTTGATAACGTAGGGCCAATATACAATGCAAAGCAAATTGATCACAAAATCAGAAGCATGATTTCAAACATCAGACCCAGCTTTTA